ATATATGTAATTAAAGTACCCAAAGATTCACGTCGTCCAAATAATAATCATACGTAGTAAAAATAATTTAGATACTTACTTATTCAGTAATTTTTAAACGCACAAGTATTTTTTAAATGCACAAGTACAAAGCAAACTATAACATGCTCAAAATGTCCATCACCATTTTCGATGCACGCACACCTTCGAATCCAATTTTCGCGCACTCGCTGGAAAACACCTCAAGAAAATGAGATAGTGGTACGCAAAAAACACTCAGACACGGTCCAATTCCAGATACCAACTGAATTGCGTATTACCTCGTGTTATCCGCCGCGCCGTTGTCACATTGCTCGATATGAATTTTATCGAATTTTAAATTTATTACAACGCTAATTATTTTTTAGAATTAAGCATAAAAAAGTTCAAAAAAGTGATAAACATTGTATTTTATGGTATTCCATGCACGCAGTCAATATTCCTTAAGTAATTGAACTTTTGTACATACATCAATTTGGAGATTTTGATAATTTTTTTCTCGGAAATGGTTGAGTTTAGGACCCATGTCATATAAGGTTTTTTTGTTTATTTTAATGTATTCTATCGTCTGTTCAAATTAAGGCAGTCAAACTTCAAACACCCTGTATAAAGAGTGTGACTTTAGTATATCTCGTTTCAAACAGTATAAGAAATGAAAAATGAAAAAACAACGTTCAAACTTGAACTTTTAATTATCTTATCTGCTTTGGATATGGAAATCAGAAAAGTTTACTGATATCTATTCAAGAATTTAGGAATACATATAAGGAATGCGGCCTAAACATTCCTCATATTTAAGAAAACTATTCACGAGGATAAATGTAAATTTAACAATTTATGTAAATATTTAAAATATCTACGGGTTAATATCTACGAGGTTAATTTTGATATCACAAACAAAGGTTATTCGTTTTGCCTAAAGTAATGTAAGTAATGGATGTAACCATTTTAAAATCACCAGGTCAAAGGTTGTTTGTTAAGTGATTGAAAACAACGACAGATAAACGGGAAACTTCAATCGTTTGAGAAAACATATCAGAAATTAGTTTCAAAGCTGCGGTACAAATACCCGAGTTGAATAGACAAGTCTCACAAATTTTTTAATACTCCAAATTTTCATTAGAATTATAATTTAAATGTATTACCATATTTTCAATATTAATGTTAAATACTTTGAATTCGTTGGCAAATATAAGCAGTATATTTAACAGATTTGAGTCGGTAAATCAACACAAAATCTAACATCGGCCGTGCGTTTTTCCTGTAGCTGGGTCTTCAATATTTAGACAAGTTGAAGAAAAAATGTGTGTTCCTTAGCAAATATTTAGTACACTTGGGCAAACATTACTTTTCATCTTGATTCGTAAAATGACGCATATCAAAGGATGTGATCTAGTTCTGTTTGTAAATAACCAACCAAAAGGTGGTATGTGTGGACAGAACTATGCAATAATTCTTCTAAAAATATTAGGTAGGTAATATGTAAGGTGCTTGGTAACTATTAGTATCAAATTACCTTATTTTTGTTATTTTTAATTTTATTTTGTGATAGTGCAAAGAGTAACGTGGTTGTAGTTCATAAATTGTCACTCTCAACAAGCAATTTGCCATGACAAATGTCAAAATAAATGTTTTGTTCAAGACTTCTTTTCGCATTTCTAAATTTTTTCGTTTTCTAGAATTACAAAAGTTGCTGACACCACTTTTACATAAAATCACAGATAACTCTACTGAAACGAGAAATTTTGCATAACATTGAAATACTATTCGTAATCAGTTATGAAAATCTGAACAAAAAATTTATTAAAACATTAATTTTGATCTATCAAGAATGACATTAAATCTTTTCCAAAGAGACTGTGGAATCAATACGATATATCTCCTTAATTTCTAATAATATATCTGTAAAGCTGAATGATTAAATAAAAATAGTATTTTACAGCAGGTACCCCAAGAAAACCATTCGTTAAAAGAAGATACTTAGAGGTACCTTATTGCTTCGAATTCCAATAAATGTCTCATATTTTGATTACAGATTTATTAGTAAAGTAAAATTGGGAAATAACACTAAATAACATTATAATGTGAAATATTTACGAGAAGATTTAAACCAGGAATTTGTGAATGTAGTGATATTTGATATTTACGTAATGGTTAAATTTTAACTAAATGCTATTGTAAATATATTATAACATGGAAAATTATACTCTATTATTCGAATGGGTATTTCTAACACATTGGAAAGCAAAAAAAAATTACAAATAACCTTTTGCGCTAAAATATTAACACATTAGAGAGTTTACGTTGTCAAAACATTCGTTCTCAAATTGATTTAAAAGTCAAATGTGACAATTTTTTTGTTTTGTCTACTATACAGGGTGTCCCTGAAAAGGATGGACAAAGCTTGACCACAGGTTCCTTGGATGAAAACAAGACTATTGCCTTACTTACCTATACACAAAAGTGCACGCCTACTGAGATGTAGCCTTCTAAATATAGAACAGATAACCTAGTTTTTTCAAATAATTTGAAAACTGTTTTTCTTAGAAACTTCAAATTTGGTGCACATATTTTTTTATATAAAGGCAATGTAAATATAGAATTTGGTGAAAATATATATATACAGGATGTTCTCTTTCTAGTGCGTGTACGCCACTGGCTGTCCCGTAACTTTTTTGTATGTGCCAATGACGACAGAATTTATATTTTTAAAAATAAGCACTATTTTGGAAGATTTTTTGCCTCTTACAAAATTTTGATATCGTTTACGGATTTCGAGTAAAATTGACATTTTTTACACTTTAAATAATATAAATCAGTTTAAGATAAATAGAACATTCTAGTACGAGGTGCCATATAACAGAGAAACAAATCCATAACAATAATTAAAAGGTTCTGTGTCAAGCTAGCTGTGATTTAATTTTAGCTTACTTTGTTTTTTATTACAATTTATACTTTTGCTGAACAAACTGATATGTTAGTAGTTTTGGGTTATTGTGAAGGAAATTGTTGTGCTACTGTTCGAACATATGCTGAAAGATTTCCTAATCGAAGAACTCCAAATCACAAAACATTTGCTAATGCGGAGAGACGCCTTCGGGAAACCAGGACGTTTTTTACATGTAACATTAAATCGTGGATAATGTACGGTCGGAATTATTCAGCTGGAGGAACAAATTTTGGAAAGGGTCGAAGAAATTCCTCAAGTAAATAAATGGAGTTTAGCGGCAGAGGTTGGCTTTCAGAAAGTTCCTTTAATAGAGTATTAAAAGACCAGTTATTACAGGTTACAGGTATTACAGGGTACAGGTAGGTATTACAGGTTATTAAAGGTCTAACAGGTGGATAGGTAGAGGAAATAATGCCCCTTTAATATGGCCAACTCGATCCCCGGACCTAAACCCATGTAATTATTTCATTTGGGGAGCGTTGAGGACCACAGTTTAAAATAACTTTTCAGTAAATACAGAAAACGAATATGGGAAAGAATACAACATGAAATTAATGCTATGAGAGATAATGCACAATTATTGGATAATTTCTAACTTTCGAAGAACTAATGTTTGCGTTTAAGAACAAGAAAGTAACTTTGAGCATTTACTGTAATATTATTTTAACGTGATTACAAATATCAGTTTATTTAAAATGTTAATGTTGACTTTCTTACATTATTAGTTGATATTGTTTATTTAAAATATTAGTGTTGATTTTTATTTTATTGATTGATAATACTAATACCAAAAATGTGTAGTTATTTTTTTTTAATGTGACGTTATTTCATTATTATTCCCTGCTTTGAGACTGCAGTCATAAATTATTTTTTATAAATCGGAATTTTTGCCTATATTTAATGTATAAAATATGTGAATTTTACTCGAAATCCATAAACGATATCGAAATTTTGTAAGAGTAAAAAAATCTTCTAAAATAGTGCTTATTTTTAAAAAATATAAATTCTGTCGTCATTGGCATACACACAAAAAACTTATGGGATAGCCAGTGGCGCACAGGCACTAGAAATAGAACATCCTGTATATGTATTCTCTCCAAATTCTATATTTACCTTGCCCTTATACAAAAAAATAAGTGTACCAAATTTGAAGTTTCTAAGAAAAACAGATCTCAAATTATTTGAAAAAATAGGTTATCTATTTTATATTTAGAAGACGTGCACTTTTGTACATAGGTAAGTAGGCTAAATAGTATTATTTTCATCCAAGGAACCTGTGGTCAAGCGTTGTCCATCCTTTTCAGGGACACCCTGTATATCTATTTTCTTAATGTGAGATATTTCTGGTTAGGCACCGCAGTTAGGCACAACCAAAATAAAACCAACCCATTGACTGATTCTTCTGGAGCAAAGGTTATTTATTATTTTTTTTTCAATGATTCAGGAATACCCAATTAAATAAAAAAGAGTGACTGAAAATGTTACAAATTACATTACAGACAATGTAGAAAATGATATTCAAATTTTAAATCGTTACGCACTGTTATTTCAGTTACTTTTATGCCACTACTGTTATGTAATTTTTATATATTTTTAGATTTTTGAAAATTGAGGAAGCCCTGAACGTTTTTTATATTTGTTTGAGAGTTTTAAAAACGGTAAAAATATTCAAATTTAATTTTCTTCGAGATTACTATAAACAAACACGAAAATATTACAACTTTCTGGAATTCGTTCCGTATACATATACTTACATTGTTTTTCCAAGTAGAAACTATACTTTTTGATAATGAATAGGTATATTTATTTTCAACTATACCATGAAATTGAATTTGGTAAATTTTCTTCTACCAGGAAAACATTTATTAAAATGAAGAAACGACTATTCTTCAAGATCACACTATGCCTGCCCATATAAGAACAAAATATTTGTTCCTGCGTATGTAAAACTATTATTTTTGTTACATACTTAAAACGACTTTATATATAGTTGGGTTTTCCAGTGATAAAATCAAGTTTCAGTAAGACTTACCCAAAAGAGTCGTGGTTTAACTTGAGATTTTCCAGCGTGACATTGAGCTCCTTCAAACTCCGGAACTGGAGGTCCTCCAGGTACGAGGAGGCCAGCCTGAGAGACACCTTGTCCGAAGGGGAGAAGTGCCCGCGCAGGGTGCCCACCACCTGGTCGTAGGACGTCATCTTCTCGCAGCTGATGGAGGTGAGCTTCGCCGTGTCCAACCTGCAGCTGCAGGGGGCTATCTGCTTCCACATGGGGCAGTGCTGGAGGCCCGCGGAGAGTCCGAGGATGGAGAGCAGCAGGGTTGACATGGTCAAGCAGTAAAATACCATTAGTTTGCACTTTGCACCGCGATATTCGTCAAGTCAATAAGAACGCACGAGATATACCCAACCGGAAGTGGAGGCCAGAAGATATAAATCAACCCGGATCGCACGGTGGACTGCCAGTGACTGACTGCTGGTGGCGCCTAAATTTTCTTGACTGGAGCGCGACGTGATATGTGCGTACGGAGGCGCCACGTCCAGCCATATATCTCTATCGGTGTCCCCCGGGTATGTGTATCTCCACACGGATAATTAGACTCGCAACGAGTAATCTTACTCGCTGGCGCTCCGCTTCTGGATTCTCTCGACATCTGATTGCATTCTTCTTTGGCTCCACACTTCATCGTCCTCGAGATTTATATCGGATACTCGATGGCGCCTGAGACCTGCCACCGTCCGTGCATGAACTGATGGCTGGATACTTCCTCGTTGCACGCCGAATCTCGACGTTTTACAATTCTCTAATCGCCGATTTTGTTGCATTTTAATGGCGATTGCTCTTCTGTGCGCGTATAATTGTCGCATATCTGAGGTATACGAGGCGTTCGGAAGTATGTCGATTTGTTACTTGCAGACTATCAAAATAAAACATTGCAATTATAGAAGCCGGAATTGGAATTGCAAAACGATTTATGGGTCTATCGGCAAAGCAGCAAAAGTTGTCAAGTAAAAAAAATATATTTTTTATATACAGGGTGTCCCCAGTTCGGGTTGCCTATACCTGAAATGGATACAAAATTTCAATTGTCAAAAAAAATCATTCTTCCTAAAAATTTTTGCTTGTCCAGAAGCCCTTGGCAAGATAGTCATTTGTTCAATTTAAAGTACAGGGTGTTCAAAAATTTGGAAAAGGTAAAAATATTAAAGAGTACCTTAAATTTTACCGCTACGTGAAAGAGTAATGGGGAAAAGTTGCTTTGAATTAAATTTTATGTTTAAATATGAAAGCATGGCCTTCTAGTTAATACTCGACATTCTGGGATATTCTAGGACTCTACTTATTTTTTAATACTTTCGGAGAAGCCATTCTATTTAAAAAATATTGCTTTATTGAAAAACATATACACATGTTTGCATATTAATAATTAATTTTTGATACAGGACGATCAAAAATCTCAAAAACATTAATCCAACATTTATTTTGAGAACACAGCAGAATCAGTATGTACGCGCCATCACAAAACTATTCTACATAAGTCTGCTAACTTCAACACACCTCTCCAATCTTTTTCTAAATGCCGCGTAGGTCGAATGTATCATTTCTTCATTTATTTGGGCAACAGCTTCAATTATCCTACTTTTCAAGAAATCAACATTGTGTCTGTGCACTATTTCTTTCAAGAAGCCCCAAAGGAAATAATCAAGCGGCGACAAGTCAGGGTACCTTGCTGGCCAACCAATAGGACCATATCTTCCTATCCACTTCTCTCGAAATTTTCGGTTAAGCCAATTACGGACCAGAATTGTTGAGTGAGCGGGACATCCGTCTTGTTGGAAATACGCTTTTTATCTATATTCCAAATGTTCTTCTTCTAATTCTGGCCGGAAAAACGTGTCTAACATCTCCAGGTACGTATACTGATTTAAATTTGCTTCAAAATAGTCCCAATTATTCGATTGAAAGTAATCGCGCACCAAGCATTTACTTTTTTGAACTTTTGACTTCTTGAAGTAACTGTAAAGGAAGGATTTTCTTGACCAAAAACGACAATTTTGCGACGATACCACTCCATTGGTAGAAAAAGTGGTTTCATCGGAAAAAATTATATTTTTGTGAAAATGTGTATCTACCACAATTCTTTCTCCTATCTCTAAACAGAACTCCAAACGATGTGTATCATTATCAACTTAGTTTCTAGAATGTCGAGTATTAGCTGGAATGTCATGCTTTCATATTTAAACATAAAATTTAATTCCAAAAAACTTTTCCCCATTACTTTTTCACGTAGCATTAAGATTTAAGGTACTTTTCTCTTCACTGTTTTTACCTTTTCCAAGTTTTTGAACACCCTGTACATTAAATTGAACAAATGACTATCTTGCCAAGGGCATCTGGCATGAAGAATGATTTTTTTTGACAATTGAAATTTTGTTTCCATTTCAGGTATAGGCAACCCGAACTGGGGACACCCTGTATTTTTCAGGTATTTTGCAACCTGTGAAAACAATTTTAAAACTATTGAAATAAACCCTTGCCCAACTGGGTTATTTTTTATGAAAAAATAGTTTTGCCTAACTAAGAAATTTCACACTGAAAAAAGCAGACAAATACAAAATACAAAAACACACCATATCGCGCAGTTTAAAAAGTTATTGACGTTTCGAAAATCTATCTGTTTTCGTCTTCTGAACTTTTTTTTACTTTTCATTTTAATAACTTTGACAGTTTATATTTGTTTGCTTTTGTCTGTTCCCCTAGCTAGAGTTATCATATGAAGTTTATTCTATTTAATTCATTCTTTAGAGTCTGTCTATAGCCAACAAGGATGCCAGTTCATAGAATAATAGGCCCATTCAGTAGAATTTTTTTTGCTATTCCAAAAGTTTACCCTTTAATTAGTTAGAATGCCAAAAATCGATTTTTTGTTTCAACGAGAAATGCGTGAAATAAATTAATGAAAACAGAGCGCGGAAAAACGTTGAGCAACCATTGCCTGACGTCATAATACCGGTACGCGCTCGCGCTCGCTCTCATCCCATTCTGTGTTAATACATACGGTGTGTGGTTCGCTTGGCAGTTTCGTTAATCATTGTTTTTATGTCTAAATGGGTCGAAACCGAGGATTGTACAAATATTGTATAGTTCCAGGCTGCAAAAGTGCCTCAGGATCGACTACGAATAAAATATTTATTTCATTACTGAAAAATGAAAAGTTTGTGTGATGTTATCGACGGTTTCCCCAGCTACGGTATGCAACTCAAAACCACCTTCGTTTTTCTTTGGTTGCACGTCTAGGGGGTTGTAAAATATTATTATTTGAACATTTAGAGCAGAAATTTCAAATTTATGCCGTAAAAAAAAATTCTACCCCATCTAAACGTTCCCGCCCACAGAAATTTCGAAATACGTCGCTAGAGGGACCTATAAGCAATTTATTTAAATAATAATATTTTACAACCCCCTAGACGGGCAACCAAAGAAAAACGAGAGCGGTTCTGAGTTGCTTCAAATACTAGTCAAAGTACTACTGGCACATACACGTCGTCGCATACATCCACAAGTAGCGAGTCTAGTACGTTGGGTACATTTGTACAAAAATGGAACGCAAAAGAAAATGTAGAAAAGCGAACCATTTACGTCATTGAGAAAAATCCGAAAATGTATGTAGGTATTCCAAGTCATTCTATGTTTATAATAAATATGTTGTGTGAAAAATGCATTTCAACAAGACTTGATGTATATCTCTTATACACTCTCTATTTATGCACTTAAAAATATAGGTATATAATATAGGTAAAAGTATAGCAAATATTTACACATCTCTCCGACTGCTCGCGACTTGATCGCCGAGTGGCCGGTATCGTGACGTTATTACTTGTTCTCCCGCAGTGTTGACCTTTTTAAGAGTCTCATAAATTCAGAATTAAATATATCTCTTATTATTAATCCTATTGACCTAATTTTTTAAAAATATATTTAGGTGGTTAAATACTATCAGAAATGAAAGAAAAAGTTTAAAATTATATATCACTGAATGGGCCTACTCGACACGTATCTTTCACCATGCATTTAACAAAATAATCGCGCCTCTTTTAATTTTTAACGGTATTATTTTCCATTTCCAAAATTTTAGTCGAACCCCATTGACTATGACTGTTTTCCCAGGCTTGATCGCAAATTTTAGATTTCTCTAATTCTCGTTTTACTCAATTTTACTCAATAATATATCAATCGATTGAGTGAAATTTTTGCTCTATTAGTATGAATACAACTAAAATTTTATTAATAAAACTATTGCAACAGAAGTCACGGAATTTTATTCAAATCCGAGTTTCTGCTAACTATTCTGAGTGTATAATTCCAATTAAGAGTTGGCTTTTTTCTAATATGATTTAAATTTAACTATTATTTAGTAATTTTGTGCTATGAAAATTTCTAAGAGTACCAAATACGAGTTTATCTGCAGAATTTATTTAACACGTACCTATTTGAGTGAAAGTACTCACAATCAGTTTTAGTTGAAATATTATCACAAAAGAGTAAAATTATGAAAATGGCCAATATTGTGTGAAAATGTATTCAATAATTTCACTCAACGGTTTAATATTTACAGGTCGAGAGGTATCTCCATCCACAACATAATGTTTATTGCATTTACAAGGTAGACTATAAATACAATTTTTTTAATTCTGAAAATCAGTATTTGGTCCCGTCTTTGACAATAAAGTCCTGAAGGTATTGTCTGAAAAACTGTTCTAATGTTAAATTTGTTACCTATTTTCCTTCATTTTTCCGATAGTACATGAATATATGGAATCTTTATTGCGGATGTAATTTCTCTTGTCTAACAGAATTTGTCTTTCTTTCAATAATCCTAAAGACTATTTCAACAAAATTCTCAGGGTGTTGATTACAAAGGTCGACAAAAATTTTCCGCTGAATCCGAAATTGAAAAAAAGATATAAATTTCTAACTTATACCTCACGATCCCAAACCATTTTCTTGACATTTTCGGATTCAGCGAATTTTACTAAACATAGGTAGGTTTGATGGCCAGTTTGAATTTTTTGAATTTTCGGGGGGAATTGAATGTGTGTTATGGGGGATCCACACGTCAGAAATTTTGTTTATCACTTTCGGATTCAGCGGGAAATTTTACTAAAGATAGGTAGGTAGGTTGGTTGGTCAGTATGGATTTTTTAATTTTTGGGGGGGAATTGAGGGTGTGTGGGAGAGAAGCCACATAGAGGATGAATCACGCTGAAAGAGCTGATAAATGGAACTGCCAAAAATTAATGAAGCCCTTGGACCTTAAGAAAGGAAACATTTAGAAAACTCTTATTTCTCTGAATTTTTTATGATTTAAAGGTGGTCAACGATACAATTTTTGACTTTCAGATCCTGAACTAGAAAATTCAAGCTTCAATTTGCTTTTTTCTTATTGCTCTACTCTCGCCAAGTTACAGTCGTTTGAAGCTCACCTAAAAATATATATATTTTTTTAACCTTTAATTTTTGTGATTAGTGATCATTACGTGTCTTCTACGTGATTAATATTTCCCAAGGGTGATTGATAGAATAG